GGCCTGATCCAACACAGGCTTCTCTTATGTTCTTGTACTCTGCTTTCTTGGTGTTGGGCGGGGCAACAGTGGGAGGGCTCCTAGTGTCCTGGCCCCACTGCTGGACCTCCTGAGGGCACCTGGTATTTCTGGCCACTGTGTGACACAGAGTGTTGGACTAGATGGGCCTTCGGCCTGATCCAACACAGGCTTCTCTTATGTTCTTGTACTCTGCTTTCTTGGTGTTGGGCGGGGCAACAGTGGGAGGGCTCCTAGTGTCCTGGCCCCACTGCTGGACCTCCTGAGGGCACCTGGTATTTCTGGCCACTGTGTGACACAGAGTGTTGGACTAGATGGGCCTTCGGCCTGATCCAACACAGGCTTCTCTTATGTTCTTGTACTCTGCTTTCTTGGTGTTGGGCGGGGCAACAGTGGGAGGGCTCCTAGTGTCCTGGCCCCACTGCTGGACCTCCTGAGGGCACCTGGTATTTCTGGCCACTGTGTGACACAGAGTGTTGGACTAGATGGGCCTTCGGCCTGATCCAACACAGGCTTCTCTTATGTTCTTGTACTCTGCTTTCTTGGTGTTGGGCGGGGCAACAGTGGGAGGGCTCCTAGTGTCCTGGCCCCACTGCTGGACCTCCTGAGGGCACCTGGTATTTCTGGCCACTGTGTGACACAGAGTGTTGGACTAGATGGGCCTTCGGCCTGATCCAACACAGGCTTCTCTTATGTTCTTGTACTCTGCTTTCTTGGTGTTGGGCGGGGCAACAGTGGGAGGGCTCCTAGTGTCCTGGCCCCACTGCTGGACCTCCTGAGGGCACCTGGTATTTCTGGCCACTGTGTGACACAGAGTGTTGGACTGGATGGGCCATTAGCCTGATCCAACATTGGCTTCTCTTATGTTCTTCTATGAACTCTCGGTCTGGGGCAAGGGATGCTCTGTATTCTTGGTGCTTGGGGGGGCAACAGTGGGAGGGCTTCTGGTGTCCTGGCCCCACTGGTGGACCTCCTGATGGCACTGGTGTTTCTGGCCACTGTGTAATACAGAGTGTTGGACTGGATGGGCCTTTGGCCTGATCCAACACTGACGTCTCTTATGTTCTTAGGATAAAATACAAATTAAATTCGTGGTCGCAGGGAGGCACAGAAAGGGGTCATTCATGCCGATCGGCTCCTTCGCCTGCCAGGCATGCTAGCCAGTTTTTCTCCCCGCCCCGAATCTTCTGTCCCCCTTGGGGGGGGGTTCCCTGCCCGCCCCTCCGCTCCCCTTCCTCCCGGCAGCCCCCCCTGCCCTGGCCAGGAGAGACCCCCCCATATACACCTCTTCCCCTCTGCTGGCTGCTGGGACGGAGCTCTTCCCAAACGCCGGTGGTGGAGGAGGAGGCAGCTGCAGGGGTCGAGCCCTGACCAGTCCCTTTGCCCCCCCCCCCGCTTTACCCCTTGGAGCCCCCCCCCCCCCCAAGGACAGACTGATGCTTAGTCATCCCAGGCCAAAATCATCCCATCCGCAGCAGGTTTTTAAAGGGCCAGACAGAGATGCTTGATTTTCCTGAAAGGCCAAACAGGCCTATCCAAAGAACCTTGACACCTAATATAGCAAAAGAACTTTGATCCTGATGCCTGACTCACAAACGACATCAAGGACGCTCCTTCTCATCCACCGGGGGAAACCCTTCAGAGGGGTCCCTTGATCAGGGCTGGTGATTCTACCTCCATCCTCCCCTGGTTTCTTTCTGCATTTTTGATAACTTTTCCTCTCCCTCTTCACAGCCACCATGGGAAAGGCCGTCTTCCCAGAATCTGAGGCGACCCAAGAGAAGGCGAATGAGATGGAAGACCCAGAAGGCCCTGGAAGTGACCAGAGATCAAGCAATCGTCCCCATCCCACCCGAGCAGGGAGTGAAGTTGAATCCTGGGAAAGAGCCGTGGCGGAGATCCTGGCTAAGGACACCGTGACCTCAGAGGTACACTGTCGACGCTTCCGGCAGTTCCGCTACCATGAGGCCGTCGGGCCCCGAGAGATTTGCAGCCAGCTCCATGGACTTTGCCGCCAGTGGCTGGAGCCGGAGAGCCACACCAAGAAGCAGATCCTAGACCTGGTGATCCTGGAGCAGTTCCTGACTCTCCTGCCCCAGGAAATGCAGGGCTGGGTCAGAGGATGCGGGCCGGAGACCAGTTCCCAGGCGGTGGCCCTGGCCGAAGGCTTCCTCCTGAGTCAGGCAGAGGAGAAGAGGCAGGCAGAACAGGTGAGGGGAGATTTCCTTCGCTCAGTTCAAGCAACGACCTTATCCTAAGGCTTCCCTGCCAGATATTTCTACCTGGAGAGAATTCACTCGGCTGGGAAGAAAACCCAACCCTGATTCCTGCCCCTAAGTCTGAAGCAGCGCTGCTGGTTAACGGTGGGATGAGGAGTCTGTGAGTGGGGCAGGATTCGTCCCCTCAGCCTGTCTCATTCCTCCTCTGACCTGTGTCCCTTGCTGTTGTTTCAGATGTGGGGACCATCTGTGAAGAGGGCGGCGAAGTTCTCTGAGGCAGAAGGAGCTCCGTCAGAGGAAACTCAGTGGGCGCAGGCCCAGGAGGGTGCCCAAGATGCCCCGTCAAGTGGTAAGGGTGCCTCCTGCCCAGATGGGATCGGGGCACCTGGTCAATTTGTTGGGTGGAAGGTTTTGGGCAGGAGGAAAAGAAAGTCCTTCTGCTCACTATGCAGAGTGGACTTCTGGCCACTCACTTGAAGGGGGAGTCGACAGATTCATGGAAGGCAATTCCATTCTTATTTGCATGAAATAAAACCTTTGTATCTCACCTTCCTTCTTTCTGTTGGAAAGACTCAAGGTGGCTCAAATAAGAAAAGGGAGACAAGTTTGGGTGCAGCTGTTACCCAGGGTGAATAAGTAGAACCTCCATGTTCTCCTGACTTGGATGACTCAGAATAGGCCAGTCTCATCAGATCAGATCTTGGAAGTTAAGCAGAGTCAGCTCTGGTTCCTACTTGGACGGGAGACCACCAGAGAAGTCCAGGGTCGATCTGCAGAGGCAGGCAGTGGCACACCCTCCCTGAACGTCTCTTGCCTTGAATAACTGGGGGTGTGTGTGTTTACCATAAGTTAGCTGTGACATGATGCCACTTTCCGTACACACAGGTTCACACCATGTTCTGAGGCAACCTACCTTCTAGAACCCGTTGCCAGAGGCCAATAATTTGGTTTCTGTGCCCCTGCTCAAAGGCTTTCCGAGGATGCTTGGCGGGTCACAGTCCCAAAGAGGATACTGAAGCAGGGGCACTGTCACGTGTTTGAGCTCCAGAGTTCACAGGGCACATTTCAAGTCTCCCAGAAGTCTGAAACGTCTCGCCAGAATGTATGCAACACCTCCCCCCCCCCCAATAGTCCTGGGCCCCCGGGGCGGGCACCCGGTGCTTCTCTTCTGCGCATCCCACAATTGACTAAAATTCAAGGCAAATTTTAATGAGTGTCTATTGGGCAAAGTCTCACAACTCTGAGAAGGGGTGTGTGTGTGTGTGTGTGTGTGTGAAGGGGGTGGAGGACTGGAACAAGCAAATGGACTCTGGAGTCTAGGCGGACACCCTTCCTTCCTCCGTTGTCTCTCTCTCCCTCAGGCGGTGGAGAAACGGTGCTGAGCCATCGATTTTGTCGAGATGTGGAAATGGCTGCGGGACCTGCACTCCAGGTAGGGGAGATGACTTTTTCTCAGGGGGTTTTTTTGCTCCTGCAGTTGCCGCTAAGGTGCCTGAGCGACAGAGGTTCTAAAGGCCGCTCCCTTCACCCCTGCCAAGCCTTCCTGCAGAGGTTCTAAATGCCACTCCCTTTACCCCTGCCAAGCCTTCCTGCTCCCTCCCAGACCGCTCCCCTCCCGTGTGCTTTCTCTGCCTGGCGTGATCTCTGACGCGGGAATCTGCTTTTCCTTTTCAGTATTCCTTTTCCTTTGAGGAGGTGGCTGTGAATTTCACTGAGGCGGAGTGGGCCCTGCTGGATCCGGGACAAAGAGCTCTCCACTGGGAAGTCATGCTGGAGAACTACGGGACCGTGGCCTCCCTGGGTAAGGATCTTCCATGGGTGTAAAAGGTAAAGGTTCCCTTGCTCGAAAGCCAGTCGAATCCGACTCTGGGGTTGCGGTGCTCATCTCCGTTTCAAAGCCGAAGAGCCAGCGCTGTCCGAAGACGTTTCCGTGGTCATGTGGCCGGCATGACTAAACACCAAGGCGCAGGGAATGCTGTTACCTCCCCACCGAAGTGGTACCTATTTATCTACTTGCAATTTCTTGCTTTCGAACTGCTAGGTTGGCAGGAGCTGGAACTAGAGACGGGAGCTCACTCCGTCAAGCGGCACCCGGGTCTCGAACTGCTGAACTACCGACCTTCCACATCCACTGGGGATGATGCAGGCATCAAAATACTGAACTGCGATACGTTGTCTTGATGCCTGCCCAGCTATCTGCCTCTCGTTTGGGGTCTCCAGCATTGGGGTGGCAGTGAAAGTGATGTTTAGGATGGGTGGGTAGGCTGGCCCAAGCCACCCAGCGGGCTCAGGGGCGACTGAGGCCGGTATTGTGGCCATCATCACCCAAGCCATGAGAAAGCTGCTTGATCAGAGGCCAAGGCGGGGATGAGGGGCCCTCAGAAAGACTTTGGAAGGGGCCACAACCTAATTTCTCACTAGTCAGTCTTTACAGCATGTCCTTAAGGACATAGAAACAGATGAACAAAAGAAGAGCCCCGCTGGATCAGACCAGTGAGAGTTCATCTAGCCCCCTCCACAGTGTTCCCTCTAAGCTGAGTTAGTGTGAGCTAGCTCACATTTTTTTAGCCTCCAGCTCACCCGTTTTTGTCTTAGCTCAGGAAGGAGGGGCTCCAGAGCAAGCTAATTTATGCAGTAGCCAAATCATTTGCTCACAACTTTAATGCCAGTAGCTGCCAAAGTAGGATTTTTGCTCACAAGACTCCTCAGCTTAGAGGGAGCATTGGTCCCTCCTCCTGTCTCATCCAGTGGCCAACCAGTTCCTCTGGAGGGCCAACAACAGGGCAGTGAGGCCTCGGCCTTCCCCTGAGAAGAACCTCAGAAGAGCCCTGCTAGGTCAGACCAGTGAGGGCCCATCTAGTCCAGCCTCCTGCCTCAAACAAAGGCCAATCAGTTCCTCTGGAGGGCCAACAACAGGGCAGTGAGGCCTCGGCCTTCCCCTGAGAAGAACCTCAGAAGAGCCCTGCTAGGTCAGACCAGTGAGGGCCCATCTAGTCCAGCCTCCTGCCTCAAACAATGGCCAATCAGTTCCTCTGGAGGGCCAACAACAGGGCAGAGAGGCTGAGGCCTTCCGGCGATGTTGCCCTCTGGCAGTGGGATGCCTCTGAGTGTGGAGGTTCCCCTCTGTCACCATGGTTACTAGCCACTGATAGACCTTTCCTCCATAAATCTGTCTAGTCCCCGTTTAAAGCTTTCTGTTCCTGTGGCCATGGCTACAACCTCTGGCAGCGAATTCCACATTTTAATCCCTCTCTGTGTAAAGAAAGATTTCCTTCTGTTTGTCCTGAATCTACTGCCCATGGTAATGAATGCCACCAAATGAAGTCTGATATTTGAGCTATCTACCATCAGTATAGGGCATTCCGGGTCAGAGAGACTGCCGATGGAATTTTTCTAGTTAAAGACTCAATCGCATCAACTTTATAAATCTAAGCAAGAAGAAGAAGAGATTGGATTTATACCCCGCCCTTGTGGCTGATTGTCCAGAGTGGTCACCAGTTCAGCCAGAGGAGGTTGAACTATTCTTTGTCAGCTCTTTCCACCCCATGCATAATTGTTTAAACCTCTATCATGTCCCCCCCCCTTCATTGTCTCTTTTCTCAACTGAAAAGCCCCAGACTCCTCAGCGTTTCCTCACACGGAAGGTGCGCTAATCCTCTGGTCATCTTGGCTGCCCTTTGCTACACAAAACTGAGAGCCCGTTTGGTGTCGTGGCTAAGAGCAGCGTACTCTGTACTGGAGAACCCGGTTTGATACCCCATGACTCTGATTCCCCACTCCTCTGCATTCAGCTGCTGGGTGACCTTGGGTCAGTCACAGTTGTCTCAGACCTGTGCTTTCAAGAAGAGGAAGAAGAAGAGTTTGGGTTTATGCGCCTCTCTTCACTCAGAGTCTCAGAGCAGCTTACAATCTCCTTTCCCTTCCCCTCCGCACAACAGACACCCTGTGATGTAGGTGGGGCTGAGAGAGCTCTTTCAGGGACTGCTCTTGAGAGAACAGCTCTGAAATAAGTTGTAACTGACCCAAGGTCACACCAGCAGATGCAAGTGGAGGAGTGGGGAATCAAACCCGGTTCTCTCAGATTAGAGTCCGCGCTCTTAACCACTACACCAAACGGTCTCTCTCAGACTTCTCTCAGCCCCACCTACCTCACTACCTTTTGTGGGGAGGGGAAGGGAAAGGAGATTTGTAAGTCGCTCTGAGCTTCCTAGTGAAGGGCAGGGTATAGATCCAATCTCTTCTCTCTTTTCTGTTCTGTATTTGTCCAGAATACATATTCCAACTGAGGCCACACCATAGATCTACACAGGGGTATTAAACGATCAGCCGCATTATTTTCAGTCCCTTTCCTAATCATCCCTAACACAGAGTTTACCCTTTTCACTGCTGCAGCACGCTGAACGACCATTGAACTGTCCACTACAGCCACAAGACCTATTTATTTATTTATTTATTTATTTATTTATTTTTATACCCTGCCCTCCCCACAAGCAGGCTCAGGGTGGCTTACAGTAATTGGTACCCTGTACCATAAAAAACCATGTACAAAATTTAAACAACTTACAACAGCAACATTAAACATTAAAAACATTAAAAACAATCCAACAAGCATTAAAAACAATCCAACAATTAACAATTGTTAATTCTCATTCTCAGCATTGGCCAAAACCTGACGTTGGATCATTTTTGTCTCACTGTGCATCGCCCTAAACTTCATTTCCCACGATGTTGCCCCCTCACTGAAATTGTGGAGATCGTCTTGAAACTTTCCACAGTCAGGCCTGGTTTTCACCATCCTGAATAATAATTTTGTGTCATCTGCAAACTTGGGCACTACACTGCTCTCCCCTAGTTTGAAATTAAATAGTACCTGCCCCAATACTGATCCTTGTGGAAACTCCACTAGTTGCTTCCCTCCGTTTTGAGAACCTGTCCATTTTTTCCTACTCTGTGTTTCATTTTAATTCATAAGCGAACCGGTCCAATTTTCTCATGACACTTAAGCTTACTCAGGAGTCTTTGGTGAGGTACCTTGTCAGAAGCCTTTTGAAAATCCAGGTATATAGAACAAGAAGAAGAGAGTGGATTTATACCCCGCCCTTCACTACCCAAAGGTGTCTCAGAGCGCCTTACAAACTCCTTTCCCTTCCCCTCCCCACAACAGGCACCCTGTGAGGTAGGTGGGGCTGAGAGAGCTCTTGACAGAAACTGCTCTTTTCCCAAGAACAGCTCTTCAGAACTACGGCTTGCCCGAGGTCATCCAGCCAGGTGCAAGCGGAGGAGTGGGAGAATCAAACCTGGTTCTGATTGTGGGCGTTGATTTTGACCAGATTTCAATCCTTTCTTGGA